GGTCCCATCACCTCCTGGCAAATAGAAGGGGAAGATATGGAGGCAGTGACAGATTTTACTTTCTTGGGCTCCATGATCACTGTAGATGGTGACAACAGCCACGAAATTAAAAGACACCTGCTTCTTGGGAGGAAAGTGATGACAAACCTTGACAGCATCTTAAAAAGCAAAGACATCACCTTGCTGACAAAGGTCCGCATAGTCAAAGTTATGTTTTTTCCAGTAGCAATATATGGAAGTGGGAGCTGGACCATAAAGAAAGCTGACCGCCGAAGGATTGATGCATTTGAATTGTGGTGCTGGAGGAGACTCTTGACAGTCCCCTGGACTGCAAGGATCTCCATTCTATCCATTTTGAAGGAAATCAACCCTGAGTGCTCACTGGAAGGAGAGATCCTGAAGCTGAGGCTCCAATATTTTGGCCATCTCGTGAGAAGAGGACTCCCTGGAAAAGACCCTGATGTTAGGAAAGTGTGAAGGAAAGAGAAGGGGACGACAGAGGATGAGATGGTTGGACAGTGTCACCAAAGCTACCAACTTGAATTTGACCCAACTTCGGGAGGCAGTGGAAGACAGGAGGGCCTGGTGTGCTCTGGTCCATGGGGTCACGAAGATCTGTCCTTCTAGTGAGCACTCAGGCTTGATTTGCTCTCTTGTAGCTGGCATCAAGAGTGAATTGTAGAAGCGTAAGGCAGAAGTTACCTACTGGTAGAGGAATGAGAATGGCAAATCGATCTCTCTACCGCGAAAGGCACAGCCCCGTTTGGCCGAATCTCAGCGCGCAGAAGGCAGAGAACGGCTTATTCCTTGCTCTTGCTCGGCTTCCCGTCATTGAGGTGCAGCGCGGCTTGCAGGAAGGCAACGAAAGGGCTGGCTGGGGCTGAATTGTGGAGCAACCGGGTGGATCGTCGCCCCTTCTCCCCCGCCTATCTCCGCAACTGCGCGTCCTAAGCCTTGTCTCACCTTCCCATTGTCTTCCCGCCGCTTGCCTCTTTCTACTCTACCGCTTTTGGGGGCAATGGGTGGATTTTAACGTGGCCGCTCGAAAAGGTAGGACTGAGGGCTGGCCAAGGATCGCACGACTGTTTCCTTGCCAATGTGAGTCGGCCTTCCCTCCAGTTCCTGACGGAGCTGAGGTTCTCCCAGTATCGAGATGAGAATGGACTGGACCGGCCTCGATTCGGATGCTCCTTAGACCCCCCCCCATCCTTCCCTTTCTTGCTCATCACGTTGTTCGCCGTTCTCCACTGTCGCCAGTAGGAGGCGCTGAGAGGCTGGCCTAAACCCGAGTTTCTGCCCTCCGGCTACATGACGTTGGCAGCTGCCTCAGCCAGTGGCTCAGCAGTTGGCGAGCGGGAAGGTGGGGGAGCCAAGCATTGGAGGCATTACGCCTCGGCCCCCACTTTTAATGTGAACACATGCACACGTACAAGCACTCCTCCCGCTCAGATTCATTGCGTGGAAGGGCGTGAATGCCTGTGGAAAATCAGCTCACCCCCATCCCCACCCCCACCCTTGGGTAACAAAGTAGTGCTTTTCCTTGTGCCCTCCCCCCAAACTATCCTCTACGATTGGCTCCCGAAGAGCCCTTCTTGCTCCAGTTTGAGACGTGGCTGCTTTATTGTCCCTCCCTCTCTTTCTCGACGTGATCTTCACCTTCCTTTCCTTCGCCACCACCTCCAAGGAAAGCTGTGGGTTTGGGATTTATTTATTTCTCATTTATTTATTTATTACCACACAATGAATACGGATGCCTTCGAACTTACATTGAGCAAGTATGTTCTCCCACTCTCGTGGCTTTGTCAAAGGAGGTTCTGCGGGAGTAGAAGAACTTGAGAGTGCCTGAGGTGAATTGTTAGTCTGCAGTAGAGGGGGGGAAACACAAAACCCAAACGAACAAAACCACATCCCCCCCCACGACCCCAGAAGCTCGCCCGTTGCCAGAAGAGGGTCTTGTTGGTGAGGAATGGGGTCTTCGGTATGGCACAACCGCTTTGAAAGCCCCTTGCTTGCGTGCTCGGACTCCGATGCTCAATCAACAGCCAGCTCGGGTCTAGAGCCACCTTCTCCGCACCCAGCCACGTCTATCTAACAGGTAACGGCTCAGAAAGGAGCGCTGCGGCCGGGTGTGTATGTGTTTGGGGGTGGGGAGGACCTGTCATTTCTCCCATGGACCCGTTGCAGGTGAGGAGAGTAATAACCGATCGGCTGACGCGTGTGCACGCCGGGGGTGAGTGTGCGCGTCTCCTCCTCACCCCCCGCAGCTCCCCGTCCAGAGAAGCAAAAAATGTAGCTGGGTTGACGGGTCGAGCCCCCTCCCCACCGATCCACTTCATTCATTCATTCCCCGAGGGGGGGCGGTGGGATGAGGAGGGGGAGAAGCGGGTGGGGAAGAGGCCGCCGACATGTCAGCAGCAATGCAGATGGGGTTGGGAACGGCAGTCGCTCACCAGTGAACTGCTCCTTGCGAGTGGTGGGCTGGGTTTCGTGCGCACGCGCTCGTGTGTACGTGTATGTGTGTGTGCGCGCGTGTGCGTGTGTCTCGGTCCTGTTACGGGGTTCCTAGTCTCGGTGATTTCTAGCTCGCCCGTTTCTTCCCGTTCGCCTCCTTGCTGGTCCCAGCTATGGCACAGCCAGAGTATCTTTGAAATATTCACAGAACCGTGCCAGCTGTTTGCCATTCCTCTGGTGGGGGCCGATGTTGGGAAATGCGTTTTCCTTGCCATTCTTCGAAACGTGCTAGTGTCTCGATCGGGGAGCTACTCGGTCTCTGTCATCACACCCCTCTCAGACCGATCCTTTCCCCCTTTTTCCCTTCAGGAGGGGACGCTTGGGGAATAATCATGCTTCTCAGAGGACTAGAACCGACAGCCGCGACATCCCGACCCAGCCTCTTCTGCTAAGGACTCCCAGGAATATCTTTCTGTTATCTGCAGCATTAGAACCACCGCGGGTTTTTGTTTTAAAGCAAAGGAGGAAATGGAATGATCGCTCTGGATCCTGCACGTTACGACCCTCCTTTCCACACGGTCTGATTCATCTTCGAAGCCCATCTCTCCGCATCTCGCTTGCTCTCTTCTTTTTCATTCGAACCACTTCAGGATACGAAATTACCAAAGCCGAGGCTCCACTCAAGAAAAAGATTTTTGATTTTTTTGCATCGCCCCCTCCCCATTTGCTTCCCAAACCTCGTTCATCTTATGTGGATATGCAAGCAAGAAGAGGAGACTGGATACTCCCAACATGCTCACTCCCTTAATCTGTCCGCCTAGAGGTTCTGCTTCTACAAATCAAGGTAGAAAGATATACACTTTCCCTTTCTTTTTCTTTTTGCAAAGGGGGGAGGGGAAAGAAAGGTTGTGGTTTGTATTGTAGAAAAGTCACCACTCATTTTTAGTAGCTAATTGGTAATAATGGCACGAGCCATCCACCCAGTAGCTCATAAGAGCCAGCCATGCTGTTTGGAAAGCAGGTACAATTTTAAGATGGGGGAACCCTTCAGACATGTTGATTTCTTTCCTTTCCGGCTCATCAGATGAGATGGAGCGAAGAGAGGCAAGAAATTGCCCCCCTCCCCGCGCATAATACGGTGGAGATGGATGTGGGCGATTCAAAAGGGAGGTGGGGGTGGGGCAAGAGGCAGGGGTTCAAGGGAGGACCGTAACGGACCCAGTTATTTTTACCCCTGCCCGGCCAAATCCCCTTTGCTGAGGGGTCTTGGCTAGCAGCAGCCTCCCGGGGCTCTTGCTTCGGATTTCACCCTCGCGACTTGAGGATTGGCCCCAGCCTACAAGTAATATGGTAGTGGTCTGTGAAGATGGTGCATTCTAAGGGAAGCATACCAGGCCCTGGAGCTCTGGGGAGGCCTAATGCAGCGTTTGCCATACGGACTAGGAGCTCTGGCGAGCAGTGGCCAGCCAGTCCCAAGAGAAGGGACGGGAGCAGAGGAGTCTGCTATGTGTGGCTAGCGACTGGCTGCGTGCAGGTGCAGGGCTATTTTGAGTCCATGCACGTCAGAAGGCACACTATAAACCCGTTACATGCTTTATTTCGAAGGCCCCCCCTCACCCTGCATCTGGTTTTCTTTCCCCCTTTTTTGGCTGGCGCTGGTGCTTTTCAGCTACGATGCCCACCCTGCTTGCATGAGCCATGCAGTCTCTTCCTCCTCCCCCATTTTTTCTCTCTCTCTCCTTCCCTCCCTCCCTCCCCCGCCCCGCTCTCTCTCTCTCTCTCTCTCACACACACACACATACACACACATACCGGCTCGTGCGCGCGCGCGCATTCCTAAGCAAACTGCTACTCCCTGGATGCAAAATGGCTATCGTGCTGCTCGGCTGTGCCTACGCGACACATACCGATGAATGCAGGGTGGAAATTTGACGTGCTTGTCTGTCTGTAAGATGGTGGCAAGACAAAAGAGAACGAGTTCTCTTGCGAGTGGGTGTGGGTGGTTCTGTGCTTCTGAAGCCTTATGAAAAATGGAAGGCATCGCGTTTATTTTTAGTCATAATCAATCCGATTGGCAACCGTTTCCCAGTTAGATTGTCAGTACAGACCCTCTCGTGTGTGTGTGTGTGTGTGTGCGCGCGCGCGTGCGTGTGCTCCCACTCCCCGCGACATCCGTATTCCGATATGATGTTGGATCTGCTCCGGGTGGGTTTTTCTATGGCCGCTCGCAGGGTAGGACTGAACTTCCAGGCAACCACTGGATCCTCGACCAGATGGTCGTCCACAGTATCCAAGGAGATTTCCTCTGATTTGGCCCTCTTGCGCTCTCCCACGTTTCTCCAAGCAGGAGCGTGCCTTCCTCTCTCCCCAAATCGGGAGGGAAAACGCTGTGGGGCCACAGGAAGGGCAACGTCTGGCAGGGCACCGGAGGCCAAGACAGTGTGCCTCCCTCCCTTCCTACCACACCCCCTTAGGCTTTGGGTGCCGCCTTTTCCGAAACAGAGGGATCATGGAGGAGCAAACGGGAGGAGGTAGTGGGGCTGTCTCGGTTCTCTCGGCAGTCGAGATGACATGCCGGCTGAAAATCCTCGGTCTCCCCGATCCAGCCTGCAGGGGCCCTCCGGCTAGTTAGTGCCAACCAAGAGAAGGGAGCGCACCGAATCCGAGCGCCCTGGTGTTCTCTCTCTCTCTCACACACACACTCTCTCTTTCTCTCTCTCCCCCCCACCTCCACGCGCGCTTCCACTTCCACCTCTTCCTCCTCCTCCAGTTTTCACCGCGATTATAAGAAGCGGACGACGGCCCTTGCTGGCGAGGGAGGGGCAGGTGCGAGATAGGATCCCCCCACCTCCAGCCACGTTCGCCTGGCGCTTCCATAAATAGCCAGGATCTCGGTGACATCTGCCTGCGTCCCGCTCTCCGCCAGTGGGGGATCTAAAGTTTACCTGCGGGTTCGCGAGTGTCGCGGCTGCGAAGGGGCGGGGCAGCCTGCCAGGGCGAAGAGGGCGTGGCCCGCCGGCCCGCCGCTTTCCGAAGGTCTGGGAATTGCTCGCCGCTTGCCCGGCTCGGCTCCGGAGGCCGGTGCGCTGCGTGCCCGGAGTTGCGTCGCGGTGGTTGCGCTACTGGCGTCGCTCCTCGGCTGCCTCGGGACCCTGGCTCTGGGCAAGGGGGGCGAGATTGGCCTCGCCTTCCGCCCCTTGGACTTTTCCCTTGGAAAACGGGGCAGGGCTGGGCGTGGAACGGGGTGGAGAAGAGGGAGAGATAGGATTTCGTTCAGACCCCTCTCCGCGTTGTCGGGCGGCTCACTCCAGCCGGCGCGATTGCCTTTGAAATCCGTGGACCGCGCTATGCAGGGCTTTCAGGCGGAAGGGTAGTTTGCTCTGGGCCCGTAGGGCGGTAGGCGCCACGCTGAATGGATGCCAGCCTTTGGCGGCCGGGTAGAAAAGCCTGGCGGAGCTGGATCGCGCTGCGGAGAGCCTGGCCTCTGGGCTTCCTTTCTCACTGAGGCCGGGTCGGCAGAGCCGTGGATGCCAGCGCGCCCAGTTTTAGCAGCGCGCTTGCCTTCCTCTCGGAGAACTTTCCTTGCGGCAGCTGGGTGTTCTCCCGTTCCTCGGTGAATAACTATTAAGTCGAGTTTTGCCTTTCACATTTTAAATGCAGAGACATTTTCACGAGAGTAAAGACCACTTTTTGAGCCTCTGACCCATGATTTGTTCCAGGGACGAACACTGTTTATGTGGTTTAAGATGTGAAAAAAGAAATTGGATGTGTGTCCTCGCAAATACAGATTTAATATGCATTTCAGATTATTTAAACATACATTGATCTAAAGTTCAAAACAACCATACAGTGGCTAGAATGTGCATTTGATTTATTTAGAGGACACCTGTATTTAGATGTACAGTACTTAGAGGACACCTGTAATCTAATCCTATATGAACTTTCTCATAGATATACATCTATGGGATTATATTGTTACTAGATTCTTCCCATGCCCACAATGGTTGGAATGGACATTTTCTTTTAAATGAGGCCCTTCTTGCTTTGTATCCCACATCAGTGGTTTTTGCATTCTCAAATAGCTAGAAGAAAGTTTTGATGCGTTATATCAATTAACATCCTTTAACTGCGCCTCTCCTGCTTTGTGTTAGCAACTTTTATAAGTAATGCATTGGAAGAAATTGGACTGAAAAATCTCCTGGAACTCTGTTTGTGACAACATCATCCATCTGTGACTTCTTCAGATTTAAAGCAGTCATTTGGATGGGGTAAATGCAACACATCATAACCTTAGCCATAACAATATTCAGCAGTCATTATTGATGAACAACACATACTTGTGTTTGTGTGTGTGGCAATGTATGTCTTCATCATCTAGTAGGAAAAGTGGTATGATGGGAAGGAATTAGAGCTGGAGTACAGGAGTGAGTAGCTGGATTTCTAGGTCTTCTGTGTTTAGGTGAACCTCTTCAGCTTACTTTTAAAACACTTATTACGTATATTTTCACCATCTTGCTCTTTTGAAGATTTGACTTTTTCCTTCAAATAACCACCGCCATCTCTTTATTATTATTGTCACTGTAATTATTAAAATGGTTTTAATACTTGATCTTTAGTTTCAGCAAATAGATCTGGTTAGTGCCGGAAGAAAACGGTGAGCTGCCTTGTGAAAAGCCTGATAGGTGGCAGAAAATGGGCAGGGTAATTAGGAAATATGTGCGACAATAGGGGCAAAAATGTGTGGAAGGGGTTTAAACAATGGTGAACTACTGCACTAAAAATAATAGCACAGTCACAAATTAATTCACTCAGAGATATAAGCACGCGCGCATATAAAGACAAAAATTGAGATGTAGATATGGAGAATAAACATACTATTTGAATTGTGATAAGTATAGTGCAAATTACAGTAATACTTATAAAACACAGCTAAATGGGTACAACCATTCCAATAGACAGATACTGCACACAATAGTAGAAAATGATGGTAGCACAAATATATGCACCCAGGCACAATCCACTCACAGGCACATACGTACATGTATTTAGTGAATACATACAAATACAAAGAGTTAAATACAGGAAGGATAAACTCAGAGATATAGACATATCTAAACACATGTGGTATCCATGCATGAATACAGAGATATACAGTAAAAAAATTTCAAGGTTAATCTTGGATATATTCACTACGTGGATCAAGTGATATAAAATATACCATATATAGCTTAATCATAAATCCACTCCCATATGCATAAATGAATGCACAGAAACAAATATACATTGGTATATGCACACACAGCATATATGCAAGCAAAAATAAATACAGAGCTCAGAGTGAGATATGATCCCAAGGGTAGATCTGGAATGTGTGAAGGAAAAGTCAGTAGGATTGGAAGCCAGTAGGATGCAGTTTGATGTCCTTTGTCACTGAAAGCTGCTACACAAATTGCATTTGTTGTATGTTCCAAATGTATAGTTACATATACACAGTTGTGTAATTGCACCTTTTTTTGCCAAGCCTCCACATATTTAGAAGCCAGAACACAAATAGTCCCATGGCTCAGAAGAACAGCAATTGATTCACATGTAGATGATACCAGGTTGAATACGTTAGAAGGACCAAATTTCTGAGCCTGTGTAAGGCAAATTCCTTTGCTCCATTTCCCAAAAAAAATATGTAATACTGTAATGGCAAAGCAAACACTTATAAAGCATCTCTCTGTGTACATAGTTTTGTCCAAGATAGAGATTATCAGCATGTGAGAAAGATCTTGTATGTGAAGAGGCCCTCAAACAAAAGTCCAGCAAGCATGGATTAGGAATAAAGCATTTGATTTAATG